CTCTTGTCAGATTTTAGAATTTTTTATTTTGTCCATGTAAAAGTTATTTAAAATTGGTTTGTAAGTCTTTCTTTCTAAAAATAAACGTAGCTAACTGAAAACTATTTTCTTTGTGGAATTTAATTAATCGTAAGAGTAGCAGAAAATATTAAATACAGCTAGATAACGGAAAAGTTTTTTGAGTCCATATAGAAGTTTGTGTCAGTAAAAGAATTACAATAAAAGATATTAGAAAAATATTTAAAATAAGTGTATTTGTCATAGTCATAAAACAATTTGAGGCAAATTTTGTCTAATTAATATATCAAATAATAGTTCAATATTTTCATCAGATGCACTACATACGTTCTAGAAATTGCTTATAAATCATAAAAGATTGGCAATGGCCACAAAACACGAAAAATATAGATAAATTACAGTTAAAATTATACTACTTTTGAACCCAATTTGTAATTACGTAAATCAATGTATTAATCATATAAAGTACGGGTAAATCTGTATTATTATAGATGCTTTATCTATAATAGATGCGTACAAGTCTGATATACATAGATTGAGCAGACAAGGACGAGAAGGTGTATACCGCAAAGTAAATTTAAATTATTTACAGTGGAATAAGTATTAAATGATATGAAATATATTTTAATGCTTATATTGAGTAATGAAAATGAATTATGTATATATACATTTATTCCTTTTTATATGGAATTAACAGAGATTCTGTGTTTGACTGCTAAGAAAAAAAACAATAAAAATAAAGCAAACGTGTTAGAATAATTAGTTGTCCGTATTCAACCGTATTGTTTTGCGTCAGTATTGGCACTGAAAGTGTTGGTGTCGCGCAGACGTAAACAGATGTAACTCGCCCATTGAAACTGCTCACCTTGGCCGGGACGACAACGAAGTGTATGTCAAAAATAGTTTAAAGTGTGTTTATAAATTTAGTATTTAACATGTTAAAACATTAGATAGTTATTTAGAAATAATGTTTGTTGTGTTCAACAACAACATAATTAAAAGTTTATTTTTAGTTACTTATTTGGTATGCGTTCCTTTAGCAACATTTGGATTTACAAAGAAAGGTGAGCTTCACAAATTCTAATTATTTAGATGCTATTTTTTGGATATTTATTAGAAATTGTAAATGAAACATACTATTTTTAGTAAGGTGGTGAAATATTTCCCTAACATTCTCATAAAGTGAATATAAGGTTTTAGGTTTGTGTTAATATTCATAGCAAAAATAAATATAAAAATAAAATCGTATGATTGTACCACGTAAAAAGCATGTAAAATCACCTGATTCTTGGCCTTAGTGATGTTTACATACATACTTAAAATAAAATGTTAAATTTTACGCAATAATATAAATAGCCGGAGGTGTTTTTTATTATTTTTTCTAATTATTTATTTGGAATTTCTAAAATTTTCATATTTCTATTAGTGTATAAATTATATTTATTTGCCGGTATGTATATGTACTTATAAGTATTTGTTTTCATTGGTTTCATGTGTGTTTTAAACATTACTATATTATTAATGTTAACACAATAATAATATGTGTATGTGCATGTTATTCTATTTCTTACTTACTTTGGATTCATTCTAAATAATAGGTAAAACACCTATTAACCATTTTGTATACATAATTATTAATGAATATTTTTTATACTCTTATAGAAGGTAATTAATAAATATTAAATCA